AAACTAGATTATTAGGTTATCTCAACCTTTTTGTCATCAAAAAGGGTTACCCATAAAATTTCAATGCTCCTAGAGTCTCTTCTTACTCAAAGAGTTTTGAGCACCGATAATCTACAATTGCATATAATAACATATTAATTATCAACTCTAATACAAAGCTTTTAGCCTAAATTCAAGTAACTCAATCACACAACTTCCATTTTTAACATAATCTAAGCTTCATTCACCTTTCATTAACACAATTTAACTTCCATTAAGCTAAACATTAGCTATTGATGCTCCAAATTACTCCAAATTCTCAGTTTTGGGCTAAGGTTCAAACCCTAGAGCCTACCTACAATACTCAATTAAAAAAAGAAAAATCTAGGTATATAAAATTAAATCAACTCCCAATTACTCCCTTTAAGTCATTGGGTTCAAACCAAACCCTCATAAAAATTTAATCATCATCTCACAACACCCAAAATCATAGAAAAAACCATATAAAGAGGTAGAGAGGAGGAGTAGGAGGCTTACCTTGATGATTCTAGGATCAAATCCACCTTAAATGGTTGAAAATCTTCAGCCCTCACACAACCACTCTTCTTCTCCCTCGCGTTCCTATTTTCTTTCCTTCCTCTTATGTTTTTTGCTCAAACTCGTGATAGACCCATTTAAACTTTTCACCATTCATGATTTGGGCTCTTCCATTTAGGTCCCAATTGGTCCAATAACCATCCTAGCACAATTCTAAAGCTGTCTGATATTCTAATAAGTCAATTAGTAATCTGAAAACATAATTAAATTAATTAATTCTCTAATTACTAATTTACCCTCGTTTAATTTATAAATCTCAAATTAAATTTTGGAATGTTATAACTCTTTTCTTTTTTTTAAGAATTTTTCCTTCAAAATTCAATTAACCCACCGTAACACATATATTGGGGAACTAGTGAGGGAACCACTACTTCGTTTTCTCCTTAGTCTCCTAAGCGGCATCCCCAAAAGTCATCCTCTTCCACACAACCAACACCAGTCAAATAATATTATTTCTCAATTATTTATCCTTACTATCATGTATTCACTCTAGCTTAGCCCTGTAAATCAAGTCTTCTCTTGGCTCAACATCATCACGTTCGACGATGTGAGATAGATCCAGTTGATACTTCACAAGTAAGGTCACATGTTAACACATTATGAATTCCAAACAGTACGGTGGCAAGCTACATGATATGCGACCGATACAATCCTTCTCTTGAATCTCAAATGGACCAATAAACTTGAAAGTCAATTTTTCGTATTCAATTTGACCTCTAATTTTGGTCATTGATGTGACCCTTATGAACACATGATCACCTATCATAAACTCAAACAACCATTTTCATCCATCCATATAACAATCTTGCTTACCTAGAGCTTCCAATAGCTTCTTGCCATCTTATCTATAACATCTATGTGGTCTTGTCCACTAAATCAAGTCCCAAAATATTTCTCTTACTCAATTTGAATACAACACGAACACGATCTAGAATTCCTTCTTATAGTGCCTCATAAGGAGCCATCTGAAATATGTTTACCTCTTAATTACACTCTCTTATAACTTAAAATTCACCATCTCAAACTTATTTAGGTGGGTATTTAGCCCTAGTTGTCAAGCATTGACAAGGTGCCATATGGACTTTTGCTTTCCATCCTGATTCCTAATAGCTAATCTATCGGGTTAGGAGTGAAAAGATTGTGATTAAAAGGTCTGATCTCACACTAAAACAATTCGACTTTTGCCCTAAGGAGTGCTGCATAACCACTAACAGTAATGATTAGCATGATAGGTTGGTTTAAAGGCAGTTACTTACGGTCTACTTCTAGTACTTCCATATTGTATCCCAATCTAGCCATTCTATCCTCATGAATTTGTTAATTGGCATAATTCATCTATCTAACTCCTCACGCTACTCTAATCAAACGTGATTTTATCGCGTTCAAACTATCTTACATGGATTTTTCCATTAAATAGCAACACACTAGTATGACTTCTTTCATATGGTGCTCCTTACTCATTTACATCTAACTCTTAGTAATTTATAGTGGTATGACCTTCACACAAGGATCATTAGTCTCAACTATTCCCTTTCTCATCCTTATGACAACATGGTTAAGATTCTTCATTCAATCAGACCCCTAATGTCTTACACTTCTCAGATCTCAATTGTTCTCCAAAGGATTACTTAATGCCATTCCCAAGAGTATCACCATTCTTAAATTTCTATCACACTCTTTTAAGCTTCATTTCTAATTAATCTATTTCTTTCATTAAATAACAAGGATTGGTTATCGCATAACACACTTGTCGTTTAGCTTCAAAGTGCTTACTAGTGTACTTCACCCTATTAGTGACTTATTCACGTCAACATTATTCCTCTCTTAAACGCTTGCAATTTTTACCCAAAAGCCGCCTCTAAAGGCTGATTATAACATGTTACTGTGTAAAAAATCTTATATCCATCACAAACTTGAGAGGAATATATATACTTTCTCCCTTAAATTCTCCACATTTATACAAATGGCAACTTTAATTTCTTGCCCTTCTAGCAAGTTTTAATTTTACTCTTGCCTTCATAGTGCTCCTAGTGGATTGCATGTTCTCTCTTTCATCACACTATCAAATTTGGAGCTTCCATAAACCACAGCATGCTTCAAAGTAATAATTCTAAGTTATTAACCATAACATGATTCAAGATAATTATTCTAATTTATTCAAACATTATTTTACATCACATATCTCCCTCAATTACTCAAATTAAGAAGTTAAAATAATTAATGATTCAAGATAATTATTCTAATTTATTCAAACAATATTTTACATCACATATCTCCCTCAATTACTCAAATTAAGAAGTTAAAATAATTAAGTTGTTTTTATGATTTTATTTTATTTATTTTAAAAATATCATTTCTCTTCAACATACCTCAGGCACGGGGAGATGAAATCAACAAAAATGCATGTAGTGTATTTGTTTGCATGCATATTAACTAGATTTTATTACCCATGCAATCTACAAGAAGATTATAATCGACAGCCTATTAAGAAAAAATTGACTATAAAGAAGGGGAAAAATGATGAAACATCAAGAGAGGAAGAGAGCAAGACAGAGAGCAGAAAAGGAAGGAAAAAAGAAGACTCATGCTTCCTCTTTGGTCCAATATAGATATAAAATAGGAAAAATAATAATAAAATCTCTCTGAAATATATAAATAATAATTTGACCTCTTAAAATGCAATAATTCTTCTAAAGTCTCTAAAGATTTTTCTGTCATTAATAAATTTATATAAATTACCAAACTGCCCTTGTTGTAAATAAATAATTCATAAATTTTGTTTAAATATTTACAACTTTTCTTTTTACATTCGCAACAATGCAACAGTAAATTACAATTTTGCATGTTAATTTTTTATTTATTGTTGTATTGTTGCAAATATAAAAAAAAAAGTTGTGAATATTTAAACAAAATTTGTGAAACATTTATTTTTAATAAGGGTAGTTTGATAATTTATATAAATTCATTAATAATAGAAAAATTTTTAAAAACTTCAGAATAATTATGACATTTTAAATGAATAAATTGTCATTTTCCCTATAAAATATGTATTTTAAATATAAGTAACATTTTTGTCCAAAAAAGAAATGCAAGTAACATCTTGAATTTTGAAGTTTGAAAAATTGGAGAGAAAGGAAAAGAAACAATTTGACCAATTCATTTTACACAGAACCCGAAAACCATACTGACACTATTCACAAGGGATTTGAGAGGAATAGATTTATAAAGATATAGAGGTTATGAACATCTCAATGCATTATTGTAGAAGGGTTTGTTTACTTTTTCTCACTGCACAATCTGCAAGGCTCTATCTCCAGATAAGATTGTGCGATGATGACTCGGGATTTTAAACGGCTTCATGTTGGAAATACATGCTTCTAAATCCATGATTTTAATAGTTTCTAATGTAAAACCATGAACTTTATTTTCGTGGTTTAAATAAGTGGCTAAATTTCTCATCGGCTACATCTGCTCAGTTTTGACAAAAATTGATTCCCAATTCATTTCATGGGCACCATTACTGCACTCATCTACTTTTTTGAATTGTTAAGTTTTCATTGAAATAAATCACAAAAAAAATCTCTTAAATATTAGCTTTAAAAATAATTGGGTAAAAAAAAATTAACTCATAAATTATAGGCTCAAAAATGTCCAAGACTCTGCTCATTTTTTGTGCAATGATTCTTTTCAACTTTTGAAATCCGGCAAACTAATTCATAACATTAATTAAAGTTAACTTTAATCATTAACTAATTAAAAAATGACATAAAAAATTAAAAATTACAAAAAATAATTCATAATTTTTTAGATCCTTGTCGTTAACTTTTCAATCCTTTACTATTGCTTTTTAGTTTTTTTTTTTGTTATTTTTAACATCATTTTTTACCATATTTTTAATCAACTAACTGTTAAAGTTAAATTTTATTGACGATAAAAATTATATTACCTCATTTTTAAAGTTGAAAGAGAACATTACACTGAAAATGAATTTAAAATCCCAAATGCTCCATGACTAATAATTTAGGAAGCAATTTGCTCTTTTACCCAAAATAATTTAATTCAAAAATAAAAAACTGAATCGTATAAATCAAATCTAAACAATCCAGGAGAATGAATATAGGAAATAGTACTGGCCTTCAAATGAATCCTAAACCTACACTTATTTTCCAAAAAAAAAAAAGACCCCTTATGGAGGGGAATGTCTTGCCCAACGTTTTCTAATTAGAGAACCAAGTTACAAGGGGGGAAAAAAAAAGTGGGACCAAATGATAAATGTGATGAATCCAAAAGTTCATTTTATCCTTAATCAAAAACACTGTTTAGCCATATGTGTATGGCTGTATGCACCCTTCTATAGGCAAAGCAATGAATAAGACTGAAGTTTCCAGCTCTGAAAATATAGCAACCTCCAACGTGTGATAAGATTGCACAACACTAAATGTTACTTCTCATAAATAGTTCCATTCAAGCTCTATTACAAAAGGTATTCGGTGAAGCAACTTCAATATCAGCTTCATATGTGTACAGAAGAATTACAGTTACAACTATTGCAGAAACAGCAGTTAGATTTCAGTGAATTCCAAGAGACTCAGACCCCACCAACTTACAGAGCGGGTCTCAGATGGGAATTTAAACATGAAAGAAACTATTTGCATTTTCAGATTGAGAAAGTGATGCTTTACCTTTTGAAGTTTAACCATCTGAAAAAGATGAAAACAAACTTGTACCCAGATCTTTATTTTTGTTTTTTTCCCTGCTACACTGTGAACAACTTCAAGGACCAGTTAGTATTCTTCCCATGTTTGGAGGGCACGGATATGAGGAATGGTTCAAAGATGGACCATCACTCAGATTTTCTCTAGAAACATATGGATTTGAGCCATTATGAAGAACACTGAAGTACGCTGGAGCACGGGTATTATGAACAAAATTGAGACTGGTGTTGCTGGAGTGAGTCTGACTGTTCCCAAATTCAGAGAGCAGCATCCGCCCTTGTCTGTTTGGTGTATTTTCAGCAGCTGATCTTATGCCCATCCCAAGGTCAAGACTAACAGTATCACTTTCTTCTGGTCTAATTCTTGTCTGCCCACCAGCAGCAACTGTTGGTCCTGCAGTGTCATGGCTAGTGCTCCTTGCAGTGGGCACGTCGTGATTGTGTTTACCCTCGTATGTGGTTATTACTGCTTTGGGATCATGAGATGCTCTCTCCACGTGTTTTCGAACAGGGCAACCAACATTTGTGCACTTGTAATAACTCCTGCATGATCATAGCCCACATACAAACACTTAATGTCTGTTCCATGCTTTGAAACTCTTGCACAAACACACAAGCAATCACAGTGTAAGCACTATGAACATCATCTCAAGAGTGCATACTGATCAGCCAATTCAATTACATTTTCCAACAAATAGAACAGATTGAGATGCATGAATCTTGAACCAAGTATTAAATCTGCAATTTCAACTTACTAGTGAGTATAGCTACACTTGTAACAACTTGCACATAAATAGTCAAGAACTCGAGGAGATGACATCAAGAAGAAACCATAATTGAAACATTTGGTGATCTTCTACAACAATCCTAAACCAAGATAGTAAAAAATAACTAAAAATCCCAAACAAAAATTGGAAATATCCCAACTCAGTTTGCTTTATTACATGGACATCTGGCATAATTTTAGCATGTCAGTGAAATTCCAGTAGACTAATAGTTTAGTGCTAAAAGGGACTATATTACATTTTCGTCCCAGGATATTAGGCAAGAGAAGCACTTCAGCATAGAGGTAAGCTAAAAGAAAGTACAACAGTTCAGCAAAGAGGTAAGCTAAAAGAAAGTACAACTTTCCATGGATTAAGAAATGAATGTGTAAACAATGTTACAACATGAAGAAGCCCTAGGCATTGTCCATTCTAAATTAAACTTTGATCATGTAAATTGTCAATATCTTTCTTTGACCTCCTTTTTGGAGTTTCCTTGCAACTCAGTATGCCTGAATTCACACCACTCATAATCATATATTCCTTTTTTTTTTTTTTAATCAAGGTGTATGCTTTGACACTTTTCTCAATATCTAACAGCCTAATGTTGGTATCCATACATTATTTCACTACTCTCTGTGTTTACTTCATACTCCTCCGGTCCTATTTATAAGTCACTTCCAACATGATTCACCAGTATCAAGAAAAACTTTAAAACTCATTAACTCTATTTTAAAATTTAATAAGTTCTCAACTATGTTTACATCAAATGTACACAGTTCAATAACATATTTTCTCTTTCCAACATTCAATGAAAGGTAAAAAAAGAAATTTATGATGAAAATTTAATGACTAACTTATAAATAGGATCAAAAAAATTATTCTCTCTCTGCCCTATAAATAAAACTAGAGAGAGTATTCTTGTCGCACTTAAACAACCAATATGTGTTTTGTTTCAGTAGTCATAAATTCTATTATTCTAGATACAACTCTCGTCTTTAAGATCCCACATTACCTGATTTTAATGCAAACACCTTAGACAAATAGTAAATACCAGCAATTTCTGTGATATCAACATTCCACTTTTCACACTTTCACAACTATCTTGTGTCTGATAAATCAAAACACCGAAATAAAAGTCTTGTGAGTTACGAGGTGCAATTGCATTAGAGAGTCACACTGGGGGATATCCTCTATACAACAACAACAAGCCTTTATCCCACTAGGTGGGGTCGGCTAATATGGCTATACATAATCCTTGCGTAAGCCAAACATTCAAAGAACACACTATTTCAGAATCTAACAATCAAAATAACATCCATAATCTCCAAATCGTTATCTAAAACACTATCAAGTGAAATCCCTACAAGTCCATCCCACCATTTAGCATCCCTAACAATAAAGATATCATCTGTAATCAGCACTGCAAACTTTGTCAATTGAACAGCTTATGCAGTTGGTGCCTGAACTCAATACATTTGTTTGCTTAACACCACCAACAAAGAAAGGCACGTACCAAAAGTTCTATAAAGGTGAAAAAAAAATTATCAGTTGCTTTTATGTTGAAAAACTCAGATACACTAAATGCAATCATCTATCCAAATAAAATACTCCTTCTGGTCTTTATTATAAAATATCTGTTAATATCTTTACATAGATTAAGGAATTAAGTTAAAAGTAGTAAATGCTTTCAGGGACCGTTTGGCACAATGGAAATGCATTTGATGGAAATGCAGATAGAGATAGAAATGGAAATGGACATGGAAACAATACTACAAAACACGTTTGGTATTCATATGGAATTATTTTTATTTTATATTTATCTTTATAGTGTGAAATTACTAATATGCCCCATCTCAAAAACCCTAACCCTAACACATCCAAGCCGCCGCCTAAAATTATAGTCATTGTCGCTAGAGAATCAATAAAACCAGATCCAATCAATCTATCAAAGCTATGCCAAAAATCCAAGTTAAGCCACTATCATTAGAAACCAAAGAACAAAAAGATCTGGCGAGCAAAGCCATTTTTGTTTGATACTATCATTGATGTGTTCGTAGAAGACATGAAGTGTGAATTTGATTTGATTGAGGGCTAGGGCATAGAGGTTGCCTCGAATGAAGAAAAGAAGTGCTTTATCAAGTGTGAATTTGTTTTGATTGAGGGCTAGGGCATAGAGGTTGTCTCGAATGAAGAAAAGAAGTGCTTTTGGTTTGGTCCCAGTAGATGTGGAAGATTCCATTGGTGAGGCAATCAGATTTGCCATAGTCTCTGGCGAACATCAGACTGATCTGATACTCATTCACCAGCCTACTATCCAACCGAGAAGATGAGGCAGAAGGTAATAGAAATCTCAAGGAGAACTAGGAGAAGACAAATTGGGAGAAGATGGAGAAGATGAACTGGTAGAAGATGACGACGGTGAATATGGAGAAGGCAAACTGGGAGAAGATGAGTTGACATTGAGGAGAGGATATAGTTCAATTTGAGATCTATAAGGAGGATGAATCGCCATCACCCCATCGTCGTGGCCGTCACAACATCCTCACTGTCGCCATCATCCTCACCACCCTCTGTACTATCTTCACCATTATCAATTACCAATTGGAGTGTTAGTCCAAGGGTTGGTGGAAAGGGATTTCCATGCTCCCCCACATGGAAGCCCATTTTTACCCAACTAAACATAGAAAATTTTGAATTCCATATCCATATCCATTAACAACCTCAATTCCAATGCACCAAATGGGACATTGAATTTCCAAAATTATTCTCAATGAAGTTCATTATATAAAGGATAATGATTTAGTTAAGGGGTTGTTTAGTTAGTTAGGAAATATCAAAGTAAAGGGGCGTTTAGGAAAAAGTTTTAAACAAGTAGCAAAGGGTTTTATAATAAGCACTATAGAGGATATTATAATAAGGACCAAAGGGAGTACAGGTAGAACAAAGATTTCATTTAACTTTCACAAAATAATCATGCAAAATCAATAACCAATATTTCATAGATAATGATGCCACATAAGACAGATCACATCAAAATGATTGAGATTATAATTTATATATGCTTCAACAACACCTTATTATAGTGATTACTCACTTCAATTGCATCTTAGATAGAGCAAAACACTAAAATTGTTTGCCAATTAACATTAAAAATTCATTTGACGGATGGCATATTTTATATTGGCCTTGAAAGTCAAGCTTAAGCTGCCTACTCATTAAATTTAGGACATACCTAGGGTTAGGATTGCCTCTAACCACCTTCTGCCCATACTTACGCCAGCGGTAACCATCATCCAATATGTCAACCTCACTTTGTGTTTGTACAACAACTCGTGGTTCTCGGATTGGCTTAACTATAGGGGTGATGTCAGCATTTCCAATGTCCATTTTGCTGCCCAATAAAATACTTAAAAGTCAGCAAGAGAGCACATGTTGCAGAAAAAATCTAGAACATTAGCCTTCCACCTAAATAGTAATACCTTCGCTTTGAGAAGGGGTCATCATCATCATCAACCTCATCATTAACCCTATTTGACAGTAACCCAACACCGTCTGGACTATCAGCAGGTACAGGAGATAGATCTGGGTTACTGTTGGGTTCAGTTGTGTGAGGCACCTGAGCATGCATATTGGATGCTTTGTCTGCAAAGCAAAAATGGGAGAAAAAGGAAAGATAGATTAGTTGTTTTCTAATTAATAAAAACAAATTAATATCAATGAGAAGGATCTAGCTGGTATTACCATCTTGGCCGGCAGACAAAGCCTTGTCAGTTCTCTCTTCTTGTATAGACATCATGGTACTAGCTGAGTAACGGCGGCTTGGTTGAGGTTTAGGATGATCATGTTTTCCCTTATAAATTATCTCTGTTATTTGCCCATCATGAGAGCGTTCAAATAACTTTTTTACTTCACAATTTGGGTGTGTGCATTTGTAGTAGCTGCGTGGAAATTCACATCCCTTAACATGTTTCTGGCCATATTTCCGCCAATTGTATCCATCATCTGAGATTCTCTCGGCTGCAACTGGAAGGGTATTTCCTCTACCATCAACTAAAGATGATCGAAGCCCAGGGGCAGCATTACCTTTCTGGTTAAGTTTATCCGGATCAACTTCAACAGGAGCACTAGTACCAGAACTAACCATTTGAATAGTCGATGATAGACTCGATTTATTTGATGGCACTGCTGTCTCAGTTTTAACTAATGTTGATGAGGCATATGATTGAACTATGCCTGGACCATCTATTTGCCTGGATTGTTCGTTTATTACATGGTTGCTAAAACCAGCAGGAACCTTGAAATAAGAGAATAGACTAGATTAGGAAAACGCAACAATAACTCTTAATAACAATGTTGGAATCAGAACATTATAAATGGCAACAAATTTCTTGACTACTAACATTTGTTCCTAACAAGGTAACATTTGCCTTCACCTTTTATGAAAAAGTGCTGGACAAAAATAATCTGTAATTAATCATGCCTTCTTGTTAAACCTAGTATACAAGTTAGTCACAAGGAAAAAAATAAAAGACAGAAACATCGAAGTCAGGTCTACTTGGCCACCTAATTCAAAAGATTCATCACCATGCTTACTAAGATATAAGCAATATTTCATTACCATATCTGTTCTACAGTGTGGGTTAAACTCAAAGAAGCCAGATTTTCTGCCGTCAACGGTATTGGTGTTTGAGCATATAGTTGTTACAGGAAATGTTGCATAAGCAACAGAACCAAACACTGCTTGAGGCTTAGTGAGGGACCCTGTTGTTGGCGAGGGCTCTACCTGCAAAACAAGGAAAGAAAAAAAAAACATATAAAAATGGATTTTAATGTGCAGTAACTGCTGAATTAAATGAATATGCGTGTGTGTGTGTCAAGATGAAGAAAAAGCTTAGAATGAAAAGGTACATTAAAAACCAGGGTGGGGGGACAAATCATAGCAAGTTTCTGAATTCCTACAAAGCCAAAAGTCCCTAACTGCAATCAATTGGCCAAAGTGTTAAGAATAACAGGAGATCACACATACAATTGTCTGAGATAAACAAACTTCCGAGCAGATTTAGCAGCCAGATATTCAAAAGGATCCACTATTGCATATTGTTAATTTTGTGTCCATCCAACAAAAGATAGACCAATACATGATGATCTGTTGAAGTTATATAAACTTAATTAAGAAAAACTATTCCCACATGAATCTTGTGTAGAATTTTGCATAGCTTAGAACCATCCAGATTGTTAATATCTATATAATCCTGTCCTTCCACAAAAATCTTCACCCACAATCTTTCTGAAATTGCTTATATTATTCCAATAGCACCCATAACATAAATCAATCCACTAATCCTTGACAATGCATTTATTCGCTTGTTCCACATGATTATAAATGGAAAAAGTTTTTCAGCACATCCTAGAACACCGTTGAAACAAAAAGAGCAAGCACCAAATGAAGATTCATAACGTGATAAAACAGCACTTCTATTAAAAAAAAAAAAAAGAATACTGAATGATCGTAAGAGAAAGCCATATTCCCACGGAACACCCTATTGGGAATAAAGCAGCCTATACAGAATTCATTATGAGCAAGCATCCGAATCTAGCAATTCCAACAAAAGCACTAACATATAAAATCTACAGACTGAGAAATCAAACAAAGAAGTAAACCTCTCAAACTATTTCCACGAGATGAAACAAGCATTTTTTTTTTTGGGCGCCGCCCCGGGGGGGGGGGGGGAAGCATCTTTAGCTCAAGAACGTTTTAGACATGCCATTTAAGTTATTCCTGTCAGAGCATGACCCCTCACAACAAAAGTTTCAGGTAGAGCGTTATTGCTCACAGATGAATAGACTCAGATACGATATGTTTGGTCGCTGAGTATTCGCAGGAAAGGTGAAAAAAACAAAATTTCAACACCATCCACTAGATGAAATTTCCGCCAGTGAATCCACTATCCCTAATTTTTCCCCCTCAGCAACCAAACAGAAATCAAAAGTGATCCAAACCCCCCTCCTTCAATTCACACAACAAACTACATTTCAAGCCAAAGAAAAAGACCAAAATCCCGTTGAGAAGTAAAAAGACGAGCTAACCTTCATGTTGGACAGAAGCACGGGAGACTCCAGAAACGACGTCGGACTCAACCCTGGCGGTATCGTAATACAAGGCGACCTCGAGATCGGAAGCTTAGCCGGCGACATCAGCTTGTACCTGGCGCCTCCACCGGCAGAGGCAGATGCTCCGGCGTCCGAATTCTGCGGCGACCTGAGCTGATTCAGATCGTTAAATGCCACAACATCGGAATCGGGAAGCTGGAGCTCCGAAGCGGAGTCGATAGCAGCTTCCATTGTTGGTCGATACTGATGAGAGTGAGAGAGAGGAGGAGGGAAGGAGTCAAAGGAGAGAAAGCAGGGTCTGGTTGTACGTAGGATGAGGGAAGGGCAAAAAGGTCATTTCTGAGATGCTCTGGTCTGAGCGTCCCTTTGGGAGGTTCGTTTGTGTTTTTCTACTTTGTGTGTCAGAGAGACGCATTTGACTTGCAACTTTGTGTTTCGTCTCCCTCTTTATAAAGCTTTCAAACCTGCGTCTCCTGTGCTAGTTGTCACTTATTACCGCACGCATATGAAATATGAACTCACTTAAAAAATATAAAATATTTATAAATAAATCTTTTTTTAATAAATTAATTATTTATTTTTAAATTAATTTTATATTTTTATATTTACCATCATTTTATAAAATATTTTATTTTAAAATAAATATAAAATAATTTATTTAATATAAACATTTATAAAAATAATAATAATTATTATATTTTAAATAATTAAAAATATTTTATATTTTTTAACGAGGTGAGTATTTTTTATTTTGATATTAAATATATATACTTTAATTTTTATTAATTTTTTTATAAATATTGAATGAATATACATTTGTATTTATTTAAAATGAGAAGGAAACGGCTTTAGGATTTGTTCTCGTTGTTCAAAAATTTTAGGCTAAATATTTGGCTCATGATTTATAAATTTGTGGGATCAAATTTTGTGAAGATTTTATTAATAAGTGATTAATAAGTATATTTATAAAAAATTTTGAATCTAGAGGCATACTCTAGTTTGGCAAGAGTTCGGAAATCAACTTGTCTAAATTTTTTTTTTTGTACAAAAACGAGTTATTATAGTGGTATTGAAAAATTTAGACGTGCATAAGAAACAAAAATGCATAAATAACTATTTGTCAAAAATATATTTTGAAGCTTAAAATTCCATACTTTTTCTTAAAGATTAAGCAGTTGTCTTATATTTAGATTAGATTTAGTGCTGATGCCCGAGGAATTCAATACATGTTGATCCGATTTTCAAATGGTGTATACTTGACTATATTTTAAAATTAAAAATTTGATTTTAATATTTAAGTTGGTAAAAAAAATTTATCCTATTTTATTTTCTTCCAAAATGGAAAAATAAAAATTATTTAAAAAATCATAATGTAACGATATAAAACATCATCTTAATTTAATTTAAGTGGGTTAATATAAGATATGGACACAATATTCATCTTTAACTATATAAGTGCTTTCGAATTGGGGGAAAAAAATTATATGAATGCTTAATTTGATCAATTTCTTCTAATTATCAAATCTAAATCAATGGAACCGAATACTAGATAAGCTTATTTACACCGCTCTAGATTTTCTTTTTTATTTTTTTTAATTACTTATATGTATATTTCTTAAGATAACTTTGTTTGAAATATAGTTAGGTATTAAATATAGACACTTAATCTTTCAGTTAGAATTTGAATATTTGTTTGCTATCTTATAAAAAACTAATCCATTTTATTAGACTTAATCATATTGATACATCACGCTAAGTTTAGATTCAGCACAAAGTTATTAGGAAGAAATATGAGTTGATCTCAACCATCCATTTACAATTAAATGAATTAATGCTCTAAGCAACATCAACCACTGCATACCCTTTGTTTTGGGCCGGCTGAGCATACTATTTATTTAATTCCTTAAAATTAGAAATAGATAATTAGACATGATTGTCGCAACCTCTTACTTAGAGCTTGTAATTAGGATAAACTGAACTTATTCATATCAGAGCTAATCCGTGTCATCCCAAAGAAACCTAAACTTTAAAAAAAAATTATATAATTAAATTTTATCCTAACAATTTACATTTATTTGAGCTGACTTGAATATTTAAATTATTAAAAGCTTTTATATATATATTTTTAAGCCAACTTCAGTTTCTACCTTCAAAACTTGAGATTTTTCAAGCAATACTGCAACGCACAATAACAATAAAAAATAAGACGGATCAGAAAAGTAACATCATCATGAAAAATATCATCATGAACAAATTAAATAAGTTTGGGAGTTGGTTTAAAAACAAAGTCAACACCATAACAGTAAAGGGATTGAGAAGAATTAGGGAGGAAGAGAGCTAAAATGAACTTATGGAAAGGATTTTATATGTATATTTTTAAACAAAATATAATGATGCTAGGATATTGAGGTCAAGCTTGGCTTGAATTTTTTGCACAAATTTAAACTAGCCTGAATTAGGTTAATTGCCAATAAAAGTACCATTTTCCTAAATCTAATGTTAAAATTTTTTTAAACTTATTCAAACTATCCTATTGGATTTGACCTTAATTTTTCGACTCTACTCTTGTTACATTTGAAGTATAATATTGAAATAAATTAGGATAATTTACCTTTTAACATGCCAAGGTCCATGGAATCTCCAAATTAGAGTGTTTGGTAAAGAGAGAATGTACTAGTTGAAAAGAGAGTATGTAGCTTGAAGAGAAAAACAACCCCCATGAAATACACTAAAGGTAATCATCATACACGGAGCTAGTTTCGCTGCTCATCCCAAAGATGAGCACATGGTGCGCTTATGTGGAATGAGCATGAAAACTAAACTCAATTGTACAGGCAAAAACAATATACAAATTGCTTGTTATAGAATCCAGTGACTAAAATGCTCCTATCAGCTTAAATAGAATCACTAATATATGTTCTATGAGTTAGAGTCTCTTCCGGTGTATCAAAATTGAATATTTCTACCTATTATAATTTATTTAATTAGACTCAATCCATTTTCAAAATAGTGCTTAATATATATATATATATTATTTAATATTTACAATATCGTTTTGGTCAGGAATTTGTAATTAATTAATGTTATAATTCACAATCATTCCCAACAACATTCGGCTCCTTGTTGAATGCAACATGTGATTTAATGATTGTGTTACTAATAATATTGAACATGAGAATGATGAAAAGTGGTGGTAAGTACGAAGTCTACATAACTCTTCACCATACAAGAATCAACCAATTAAGTGAATGCTGCAGCAAGCGAATCTATCTGCAAATCCCCATCTGCAAGTTGAAGAAGAACCAAGATTAGTGTTAGATTCACATAATTTGATGCCGCAAAAATAGCAGTGTCATTCTGAAGCAATCTGAGTTTGCGTCTATGTTATATTAACTTTGATTATCCATTCTAATCAGTCAGGTTTTTGTCTGCTCCTCCTTCTTCCATAAGTGAATCAACAATTCAATTCATGATTATGAAATATAGAAGCATCCTATCATTGTGCGTTAAAAAATATTTTCAACTTACCTGTTGAGTTATGTGGAGATTATTTTACGTGGTGAATTTTGGAGAAAGAAGATAGTGTGTGAGACTGTTTAACTGATGAATTCCACCCTTTTCTCTGTTTATTATTATTATTTTTTTAAGGGTAAGGTGAGTTAAGTTTTGGGATTCACCAAGATCATGTCGTGCCCAAATTCAAAGAAAGCATTTAAAAGCATACTTACAGATTGCACTCACCAACAAAAAGCTCACATCGGCAACAGGATTTAATCCTACTGTATTGTGGGTTGTGGACTAAATTATTACCAATGAAACCAATCTTTATTGGTTATATTAATTTAATTATGTATTGTATAAATTTATTAATTTAGATAGTTTGAATTTGTATAATACATTGATTACTTTATAATATTATATATATAAGTATATTAATTTAATTTTGTATTGTATTCAAAGTAATAAAATTTGAACTATATTTTTATCCTTGTAAATATAAATTTAATTTTTCACCGTCTCTAGGATCTAGCAAGATTTGATCTTGTAATCCGTGAATTATGAAACAAATCATTATTAATTGGACCAATTTTTGTTGGCTATAATAATTTTATTATGTATCATATAAATTTAATTTAATTATGTATTGTATAAATTTATTAATTTAGATAGTTTGAATTTGTATAATATATTAATTATGAATCGTATTTAATTAATAAAATTTGAAATTTATTTTTATCATTATAAAGATCATTTTAATTCTTTACCAGAAAAAGAAAAACTGTTTTAAATTTGAAAAAAAAAAAATCTTGTTGGTGGGACTTCACACAATTGTACACCAAACTTAACATAGTGTGTTGCACACAAAATATTTGAAGAAAGAAATAAATTGTTTGTATGTTAAAGAAATATCACTTCAATGAATAGTAAATTGATAATGTTAATATGAGTTAATTTTATGCTAATATCATGCTAAAAAATAGTGTTGATTTTGTATAATAGTTTGACTTTTAAGAGTTGACAAAAAGATATTTTTTTTAATCCGAACAAAAAACGTAAATTCAGTTATAAATTATTGCAAGAAAATTAGCCTTGGCATCGCTTTGCCACACTGTTAAAAAAAAAAAAAAAGTAATTTCAAATGTAACTAAAAGTTCCTACGGTGGAGTCATTGCAGTTGACTGCAAATTAACCACGTTCACCTTAATGGTGAAATTTAAACATATTTTGACTCCTTCATTATTATTGATTGAAAATCCAAAATTAGGTGTTACTTCATCTTTCAATCACAATAAATAATTAGAATGTTGTCAATTTTTCTTGGATATGCTGTAAAGATCTTGGGGTTGGGGAAGAGTAAGTTGGTGAGTTGGCTTTCATGTTATTTTGAACAACTTTAGGATTTAATAATTAATACTTCGTCAATGTCTTTTTTTAACTTTTAACACTTAAAAAAAGTTTAGGTGCATTCAGTTTTGAATACTCATTAAAGTAAAGATATGCCTCTGATAGTCACCTTAAAATTAAAAAAAAAAATTCAAACACTTTAATTTGAAAAGGGAGAATAACAAATAAGGACCCTTGAAAAATATCAAGGACCTTTTATGATTGAAATATCAAGATTTTAAAACTGAAATATTAGGAATTTATAACTCAAATGTCTTTATTTTGGATTAAAGTTCTAGAGTCTCCAATTGTCATTCTCCCATTTAGAAATTATAACTATTAAACCAACAGAAGTTAGATCTAACAAAAGAAGTTAATTTATTATAACGTGATAAATCAATATTTAAAGGGAGAATTATATTGAAGTCCTACATAATAAAATTAATCACTGTAAGATCTATTGATAACTGAACTAAATTGCACTGATAACTGCTATCAATGCAGTTTAATTCAGTTATCAATGAACCTTG